CTGTTGAAATTATAAATACACAGAACAAAACATTCCTCAAATAAACATCAAGCAATGAAACATGAAGAAATGTAGAACAAACATCATGATCAAACTGCGTAAAACCACAGATAAAAAAACTCAAAGCAGCCAGAGAAAAAGGTCATTATTATATACTACATGAATAATCAGAAAAAAAGCTGAAATGGTTAATTACTATCATGTAGAGTAGAATTAAAAATCAACAATTATTACCAAGAAAATTAGATTATTTCACAAAGACAAAGGGCTTAAACTAAGAAGTAAGAAAAATCTTAATTTTTTTCTACCAAATAACAGCTTCAAAACACAGAGTAAAAATAACATAACTACAAGAAATGGAAAACCTACAATTATATTTGAAGATTTCAACAAACTTCTCTCAATAACTGAAAGACTCAGAAGACAGAAATCCGCAATACAGTAGCCTTGAACAATATTAATATCATCAGACAGAATAATACCATCAACCAAATTAACATGAAGTGACATTCACAGAACACTACACAAACTAACAGAATACACATTCTGTTCAAGGACATATGGAACATTCACCAAGACAGATCATATTCACGCCATGACACAACTCTTGAAAAATTAAAAAGGTTTCAAGTCATAACAAAAAATTTTCCCCCACATGCAATTGAGAAGTCAATGAAAAAAACGCTCAAATACTTGGGATCTATATATACTTTTAAATAATCAATGGCTCAAGGAAGAAATCAAGAGAGAAAAGAAGTATTTTTAAATGAATGAAAAAAGTATTTTTAAATGAATGAAAATGAAAATAAAATTTACCAAAACTTGTGGAAAACAGTTAAAGCAATAACTGAGGGGGAAATTTACAGCACTAAAGCCTGTACTAAAAAAGAACCCAAATCAATTACTTCACGTAGCACCTTAAGAAACTAGACAAACAAAAAAACCCAAAAACAAAGATCAGAGCAGAAACCAAAGAAATATAAAAAGGGAAAACAACAGAGCAAACTCAACGAACTCAAAAGCTGGACTTCCTCTATTTCTTGTAATATGGAGTAGATATATTTTTCCCTATTCCTCCCACTAAGTACAAAAACTGGACATTATAAATAAGAAAAATATATTCTGAAAGGCGTTGAGAAGGAAAATTAGCTAGATACCAAAGGACCCAAGAAATTACATGGCATTGAATTCCCTGGGTTTACTTTTGGCTAATATATCACACTCTTGGAATGGAGGAAGTCAGCAACTCAGAAGCACCAACAAGCAGATGCAAAAAAGCCCCCCAAAAAAGGCTTCTCTCTCTCTAGACAAGGACCAGGGCATATTAGTTTTTGTAGCTAAAAATTTTAGACAGTAGCTACTCTACTCCAGCAAAATACCACAGAAAAAACTGGCCATACTCACTCCTGCAATGGTCAAGTCAGGGACTTAGACATCCACTCTCATAAGTCTATGAGTCATCCCGACTCCCAGGGGCGTACTATAAGAACAGGTTAAGTAGGGAACCAGAATTTTCATCCTCACCGGCTGGTAACAAGAACCTCCTGCCATGATGTTAGTAGAGATAATAAGAGAAGTCTGGACTTCAACCGCTACCTGACAGTAATGAAGGAACCCACCCTGTCCTCTAGGGTGGTGTCAGAGCAGATCTAGCAGAGTAAGGACTTTCACCAACACATAGTAGTAAATGACATCACATACACTATGGAAATCTGGTAGGGAGCCATTAACTCTCAACTCTGCTTACCAATAACAAGTTTACCTCAAATATCAATAGAGGCCAAGTAGGGAACTTGAACTGCATCCGCTACCTGGAATACAGAGAATGGGGCCCACACTCTTCCCGTCAGAGGAAGACAACTAAAACAGGTTTATGTAAGATGCAAAGTCCCATAGCATAGTATTAAAAATGTACAAAAATAATCATTTGTCATACCAAGAACCTGGAAGATTTCAAAATGAATGAAAAAAGACAATCAGTAGATGCTAACACTGAGTTATATGTAATTTTAACATCTGACAGATATGTTAAAATTATCTTAATATTTTTAAGCAGCCATGATAAAAATGATTCAATAAGCAATTATAAACACAGAATGGAAAAACAGAAAGCCTCAGCAAAAAATTGAAGCTATAAAGAATCAACTGGAAAATGTAGACCTGGAAAGCACCATAAGCAAAATGAAGAGCCCAATGGATGACCTCAACAGCAGAATGAAGAAAAGACAGGAAAAGTATAACTAAATTAGAAGATATAACAATGAAAATTACCCATGTAAACAGCAGAGAGAAAACAGACTGTAAAAGAGAAAAAAGAATGGAGCCTCAAGGATCTTTGGGACTGTATTAAAAAAAAAAATCTAACATTTATGTTATCAAAGTTCCAAGGAGAGAATAAATATTGGCTGAAAAATCCCCAAATTTAGCAAGACACACTACAAACTCAAGAAACTGAGCAAATCTCAGTTAGGATTATTTCAAAGGCAACTACATCTAAATACATCCAAATTAAACTTCTGAAATCTAACAAGGAAAATACCTTGAAAGCAGCCAGAGCAAAACATTTGACTTACAGAGGAAAAATATTTAAATGGTAGATTTCTCATCAGAAACCACAGAGACCAGAAGGAAGTGGTACAATAATCAAAGAGGAAGCCTCAAGAAAAATGAAAAAAGTATTAAAGGAAAATGGAAATGCAACACACCAAAACTTGTGAGACACAGCTAAACCAGTGATAAGAGGGAAATTGATAACAATGCACAGAAAAGTGAAAAGTCTCAAATCAATAGTCTAAGCTTCCACCCCAGAGAACTAAAATAAGAATGAATAAACCCAAAGCAAGCAGAAGGAAAGAAAAAATAAACACAAAAGCAGAATCAATGAAATTTAAAATAGAAAAAATAAAGAAAAATCAACAAAACAAGGAGCTAGTTCTTTGAAAAGATTAATAGAATTGATAAGCCCATATCAACAGTGAGGAGAAAAAAAGAGAGAAGACAAATTACTGTATCAGGACTGAGGCAAGGGATATCAGTACAGATACTGCAGACATGGAAAGGATAATATGTGAATGCTATTAAACTTCACACACATAAATTTGACAACTTAAATGCAGTGGATCCCCTTCTTTTTCACAAACTACTCCAACTCATCACTTATGAAACTGATATTTTGAACACCCCTGTAACTATTTTAATATTTTAATTTGTACTTTATAAACTATCCCAAATAAAGAAATACAAAGGCCCACATAGTTTCCATGGAGTACTGTATCAATGGGCTAACACCAACTGTACCAAAGAATTAACACCAATCCTACACAATCTCTTCCAGAAAATAGAAAATGAAGAAGCATTTTCCAACTTATCTTATAAAACTAGTACTACTCCAATACCAAAATCAGAGTATGAAAATAGGAATACAGACCCCCAATATCTTTCATGAATAAAGACACAAAAGTCCTTTAAAAAGACAACTAGAATCCCATAACATATAAAAAGAATTATATGCCATGATCAAGTGGGGCTTCCTCCAAGGCTGATTAAATATTCTAAATTAATTAATGTCATCTACCATATTAACAGGCTAAAGGAAAAAAGAATTACATAAGTCAATTGTAGAAAAAGTACTTAAAGTTCAGCATGATTTAGAAAAAAAAAACTATGGAAAATAGAAGCAGAATACAGGTAAACTCCCTCAACTTCATATAAAACATCTACAAAAAAACTACAGCTGACATCCTACTCAGTGGTTTTCATCATAGAGTGAATGCTGTCTCCCTCAGGTCAGAAATCTGCTCTCACCCATCTTAATCAACACAGTGCTGAAATTTCTAGCCAGAACAACCAGCCAAGTATAAAAGGCATACAAATTGAGAAGGAAGAAATAAAAACAACCCTATTTGTAAATCACATGATTATCTGCATAGAAAATCCCAATGAAATTCCTAAAATTAACAAGTGAATTTAACAAGGTTACAATATACAAGATAAATATAAAAATCAGTTGTTACTTCCATATACACTATCAATTAATTTTGGTAGATACAAAATTAAACATACAATACTATTTACAACTGCTTCCAAAAAAATCAAATAGTAGGTATAAATCAACAAAGACATGTACAAGACTTGAAGGCTGAAAACTATGGAAAAGAGATAATGAGAAATCAAAAATCTAACTAAATGGAAAGTCATACCATCTTTGTGGATTGAAAGATTCAACATAGTATAAATGTCAATTCTCCACAAACTGATGAGCAGATTTAATGGTATTTCTACAAAATCCTAAGTTTCAAATACATAGACTAATTATTCCAAAAAAAAAATACATATATATATATATATTTTTTAAAGCCAACAACACGCAGTAGGTAGACATATGATTTTGAAAAAGAAAAAGAAATTGGAATGCATCATTTACATGACCTAACAGTTATTATACAGTTATATTAAGACAGTGGTACAGCCAGAGATAGACAATGGATCAATGGAATAAAACAGAAAACCGAGAGATATACTCAGATTCCCAGCTGATTTTGGACAAAGGTGCAAGAGCAATTCAATAGAGGAAAGACAAGACAGATTTTTCAATAAATGACAATGGAGCATTTGAATACCCATAAGCGGAAAAAAAAAAAAAAAAGAACCTTCACATGAGTCTCACACCTTATACAAAAACCATATACAAAAATTAACTCAAAATGGATCACAGACTTAAATGTAAAGAACAAAACCATAAAACTTTTTTAAGAGAAAACTGGAGAAAAATCTGGAATTTAGGAATAGGTAAAGCGTTATTAGCCTTGACAACAAAAACACAACCCAAAAAAGAAAAAACTTATAAACTGGACTTAATTAAAATTGAAAACTTTTACTCTACAAAAAAAAAGCCCAAGACGATGAAAACATTAAGCTCCAGCTTGGGAGAAAATAAGACCAAATCACAAACTTGACAAATCACTCATCTAGAATATATGTCAAACTCAACTGGGAAAAAAAAGCAAATGATGGAAAAATCTCTATTTGGGAAAGAATGACCTAAATAAAGGAACCACTTTGTGCCAGAATTTGGAGGAGAAAGAGAGGGTATGGGAACAATGACAGCAGGGCCTAAGGATTCCTTCTCCACCCAGGTGTGATGTTCATCTGGCTCCTGACTATGAGGCTTGGAATGTTGCCAACAAAACTGGGATCATCTAAAGTGAGTTCCACTAGCTATTTCTAAATATAAATGTTGCCACATTAAATAGACAAATTAGGAAAACAGGCAAAAGCCATTAACAGATTTTTGACCAAAAGAGAATACACAGAAAGCAAATAAGCACATGAAAAGATGGTTAACATCACCAGCCATTAGGTAAATGCAAATTAAACTACAATGAGATATCACTACACACATATCAAAACTACTAAATAAAAGGAATAGTGACAATGCCATATTCTGGCAATGATGCTAGAAAACTAGACTGCTCACAGAGTTCTGGTGGAAATGTAAAACAGTACAGTCACTCTGGAAAACACTGGAAATGCCTTTAAAAATAAATAACATACGGCTGCCATACAACTCAGTAATTATGCAAATGGACATCCATCCCAGAGAAATGAAGACTTATATTCATGCTAAAATCTGTACATAAATGTTTCTAACAGCTTTTTCATAATAGCCCCAAACTGGAAATATTTGAGATAGCTTTCAGGAGAGGAATAGTTCAACTGCAGTACACCCATAACACAGAATATTAAGCAATAAAAAAGGAACAGAACTACTGATACATTCAACAACCTGGATGAATCTCCAGAATACTGTGCGAAGTGAAAAAGACCCAATCTCCAAAAGTTACATGTTCTATGATTCCATTTATATAACATCCTTGAAATGAAAAAATTACAAAACTAGAGGATACATTAGTGGTTACCAGGTACTGGAGGCAGGAAGGAATCAAGAATGAGTAAAAAGAAGGGCACCATGAGGGATTCTTGCGGTGATAATTATTCTGTTAAATCTATAAATTTCAATATCCTGGTGGTGGATATTGTTCTTTAGCTCTTTAAGATGTTGCAAAAAATGGGTAAATGGTATGCAAGGCCTCATTGTATTATTTCCTACCTTCACATGACTCCACATTTGACTACAAGTGTAATTAAAAAAATTAATGAACCAGAAAAGGAAACAGATTAAAAAATGCTTTACAATAGCATAAAAAAAAAACTTAGAAATAAACCTACTTAAGGAGGCAAAGGACTTGTACAATGAAAACTACAAAATGCTGCTGAAAGAAATTAAAGACAATACAAATAAACATAAAGACATACCATATTCATGGATTGGAAGACAAATGTTGTTAAAATGTCATTACTATCCAAAGCAATCTACAGAATCAATGCATCACTACCAAAATCCCAAAAACATCATATGAAGAAATGAAATAATGGATTCCTAAAATTCACTTGGAATCTCAAGGGACTCTGAAAAGCCAAAACAACCTTAAAAATGAAGAATAAAGTTGGATGACTCACATTTCCTGATTTCAAACTTACTACAAAGCTACAGTAATCAAAATGATGTGGTACTGGCATAAAGGCAGACATTTAGAGCAATGGAAAAGAAGCAAGAAATAAATCCTCCCATATATGGTCCAATGATTTTTGACAAAGAAGCCAAATCACTCAATATGGAAATGACTGTCTTTTCAACAAATGGTGCTGGGAAAGCTGGATATCCACATGAGAAACAATGAAGTTGGACCCTTACCTTACACCATATACAGAAATTAACTTAAAATGGATCAAAGACCAAAACATAAGGGCTAATATTTTTAAAATACATAAAAAATATAAGACAAGGAACAAATGCTGGCAAGGATGCAGAGAAAGAGGAATCCTCCTATACTTTCGGTGGGAATGTAAATTGGTTCAACTATTGAAGCAAGCAGTATGAAGGTTCCTCAAGAAACTAAAAATAGAAATGCCATTTGACCCAGAAATTTCACTTCTAGGAATTTACCAAAAAAAGAAAAAGATCCCTGATTCAAAAAGACATATGCACCCCTGTGTTTATCACAGAACTATTTACAATAGCTAAGATATGGAAGCAACCTAAGTGTCCATAAGTAGATGAACGGATAAAGAAGATGTGGTACATATACACAATGGAATATTATTCAGCCATTAAGAAGAAAACAAATCCTACCATTTGCAACAACATGGATGGAGCTACAGGGTATTATGTTCAGTGAAATAAGCCAGGCAGAAAAAGACAAGTACCAAGTGACTTCATTCATTTGTGGAATATAACAACAAAGCAAAACTGAAGGAACAAAACAGCAGTAGACTCACAGACCCCAAAAAGAGACTAATGGTTACCAAAGGGAAGGGGAGGGGAGTAGGGGAGAAGGGAGGGTAGGTTGGGAGGGAGGGAGAAGGGGATTAAAGGGCATTATAATTAGCACACACAAGATAGATAGGTCACGGGAAAGGCAGTACAGCACAGAGAAGACAAGTAATGACTCTATGACATCTCACTACACTGACAGACAGTGATGCAATGGGGTGGGAGGAACTTGATAATATGGGTGAATGTGGAAACCACAATGTTGTTCATGTGAAACCTTCGTAAGATTGTATATAAACGATACTTAAAAAAAAAAAAAACACAGGGTTGGTCCAAAGTAATTAGAAGTCCTTGTTTGGTTAAGTATAAAATATTAATCCTTTTATAGCTTATAATATACAGCTATTTGTTCAAATGACAAAAGAAACATGACATGTTATTCATGTATGAAAGGATGGAGTATGTTTGGGAGAGAAAATATTTCCCCAAAAATTCAGTTACCAAAAACAGTCAAACATCCATAAATATTAATCACATGTTGACAAAAAAGTGAAGATTAAAAAAAAAATTTCTGGAAAGTAAAATGAAACTTTCATGAACAGAGAATACAGCTCCTCTAATTTCTCCCTCTTAACTTTAAAGATAAAAATAGTAATGCAGCAACAAGGGGTTAAAATATATATATACAATGGCAGAAGCTAATAAACCTCAGAAAATATCCAACCATGAAGGAACAGTGTCTTTATTACTGATGACATACTTCCTAATCTCACCACATTGATGCTATTTCAATTTTCTCCTACTCGAAAATAACATCAAGATGAGAATATTCACATATAGATATGTATTAAGAATTCTGGTTATTTGCTTGAACTATAATTTGAAGTACAGCACAGCAGTTAAGAGAATCATCTCTGTAGTGCCTAGGGTTCAAGATTTGGTTTATAGTGACCCAACCTCTCTATGACCAAGTTGCCTCTTAACTTTAAAAAAGATAGAAATAGTACCTATATTTCATTGTCCTGCTGAGACAGTGAAATAGTATTGTCTTCCAGTGTAAAGAAGCTGACAGTACTTGGCACATAGAGTTCTATGCTATTTTGTAGATGGAGAAACTGTGGCTTAGAAAATAAACTTGCCCAGTCATTTATCCAGACCATCTGATACAAAGCACATGATTTTAACACTACTACTATACTACCTGAATATCTCTGGGTAAGATTATGCATTTTCTTTTCTTTTTACTTACCTTTCTTTCCCCAACTACCCAAAATTGGCATTTCTGCACTTGTATTAAAATCAGAGCAAAATTTTTTAAGACAGAAGACAAAAATACTTTGGGCTTTGGGACTTAGAGAACAGAAAAGCAGTGGTGAAGAACAGCATGTAGGAAATGATATTTTGAGGTTGTCTGCTGATAGCTATGTAGAAGAATAAGTCCGGAAAGTGAGAAGAGGAGGGGTGAATACAAGGCAGACAGAAAAGTAAGACTGTACATCATGTTAGGGCACTTGTAACTCCTACGTGGCTCTAAAGCATACATTTCTGACCCTACTGCTCTACAACTACACAATTAGGTTTTGTTGTTGTGGAAGGCAGGGGATTTGCCTAGCCATAATCGGTACAAAAATGTAATGCGTTATGTGTGAAATACAATACTATTAGTGAAACTACCATGACTCAGGGAAAATTTCCCTGCACCAACAGTTAACGACTATAAGCATACATTGGAGATATTAATGGGTCCAGTTCCTGACCACGACAACAAAGCCAAGCTAGTGAATGTAATAGTTGAGTTTATACTATAGTATATTAAGTGTGCAATAGCTTGTTTATATGTGGAATTAAGTGTGCAACACATAATTATGTCCAAATAAATGTACATACTTTAATTCAAAAATACTTTATTGCTAAAAGATGCTAACCATCACCTATGCTTTCAGCAAGCTGTAATCACTGATAACCATAACAAATACAATAATGATGTAAAAGTTGAAATATTGTGAGAATTACCAAAATGCGACACACAGATGCAAAAGTAAGCCAATGCTATTAGAAAAATAACACTGACAGCTTGCTTGATACAGGGTTGCCACAAACCTTCAATTTGTAAAAAAATGCCTTATCTGCAAACAGCAATAAAGTACAATAAAACAAGTATGCCTGTTGAGTAAACTGGGAAACAACAATCATTTTGCTCTGTAAGAAATAATCTTTAAACAGAGGAGTACTATACTGAAAAGGAGAGAAGTAAAAAGATAAGGAAGAAGTTCACTATAACTACGTTCAATATGTTACCTTTTTGCAGAAAAGAAAAACAGGGTCTATGTAGGTATAAGCATGTAAAGAAACTAGGAAAATTAATAAACTAATAATGGGAAGCTGGAAAGCAAAACTGGGCAAATAAGAGGTTGAAGAAAAGGATTTTCACTGTCTGCCTTTTTATATTTTTTGAACCATGTCAATATATCAATCACTTCATCAAAAATTAAGTAAATAACTTAAGCTGCTGCAATAATCTAAAACAGAAAAATTGGGACTTAGATTACTCCAATGACTACCAAAATAGAGAAATTAAATGTTTGATGCCTAGGATACCTAACAGATATCCAGAAGGCTTTTGCAAATATGGATTTGCAGACTAGAAAAAAATTGTGCAGGTGATATTGATGCCTAGCATGAAGAAGTTTATACAGGATAAAGTTAAAAAAAAAAAAAAGGCTATAAAAGCAA